GATGTAAACGTTCACTTAACATTTAATTTAGCATGATCTGCTTCTGTTGCATCAGACCAGGAGAGATAATAGCAACAAAACAGGAAAGTGAAGAGGTGCTCTGCTAACACACAAACAGACACCGTTTACATCCGGGTCCTAGCGTACATTCCTCCAGGACGAAAACACCGTTGTCCAGAGCCAGAGCGCTAATTTAAGCTAAATAAACTTTTATTTTAACACATCTCATATGGTGCTAGGCTTCCAGATCCATCCAAAATAGCTAACGAGCTGTGGGGATGAAAGTCCTCAGACTTGGCTGCTCATACGTAGGGATAGGTACCTTAGACATTTGAATCGATTCGGTACTAATTCCCGGTACCTAGGAATCGATACCGGTACTTAACGGTACCAATTTTCGATACTTTTGAGTGTTTAATATTTTAATTCTTTTTTATAATTAAATATATATTTTTCTCAATATATAACCATATTTGATAAATATCACAATAAATAACATACAACTGTTTGTATTTTAACATCGTCCTTGTAGTTTTATAAGCTGATAATTAAACTGAAGCAAACATCTTTACTGTGAACTAAATTTACTGTGTATCTTCATTCCTTTTGACGTCTTTTTTCATTTGATTTTTCCTACTGGGAAGTTAGAATTTCCGAGGAGAAAGCGAATGCACCATTAGTGCTAACATATCAAGCTAACGTTATCTTAAACATTTTATTTACCTACCGGAGCAGATTAAGATGAGGATGTCTCACTTAGATCGTTGTCGCTGGTTTCATCATCACCCAGTTACCCATCACATTTAGTGAAGTGGACCCAAGCTTTAGAGTGCGTTCTTTCTACCATGCTGCTCTGTTTACAACTCGCTCGCAGGGACCAACGACATAACGCTTTTGCGCATGCGCAGCTGTCTAGGCAAGTTCTCATTATGAAGGACGGGTACCGAAACGAGGCACCGTTTCAAATGACGTGAATCGGTGATCGGTCGGTACTGTGGAATTCAGTCGGTACCTTAAAAAGTACCGAATTCGGTACCCATCGCTACTCATACGGGAATATCATGGAAGATGTAACTGGATTGTTTCTGCGCTGAGCGGGTTAATGCTGAAGGAATGCCGTGGCACGGATCGTCTTTGGGGATGAACGGATGCTCCGTTTTTGATGAGCTCAGAATGACGAAGCGAACGAAATGAGTGGCTGGACGGATCTCTGGAGGGACAAACAGTGAAAAGCATTAAAGGCTGCTCGCTCCAACCACTGAACCCAGGTTCTGTAATTATATAAAGAGGAATTAATTTAATCTGATAGCTTGTGTCTGGACAGGCAGGGCAGTCATGAGACAAACTCTCTTCATGGCTGCTAACCTCTGCCTTCAGCATATTTATCAGCTGGAAATGTTTACTTGTGCAGCCCACAGTGCTGCATGTGCTAACCACGCTGATGAATTTGATTTCTCTATGGTTTAAATCTACTTCTTGACAACTGACAGATAATAACGGTGGTTAACGGGGAAGCAGCGTCTCGCCGCCCCCGTCATGAGTCCTTGAATGCTCTTTTAACGTCACAACGTGCTAACGTCACTGGCGTTTCTAATCCGAGCGTCTATTTTCTGTCGTAACAAATGCAGGAAATAGGGGTAGAGGACTACTTTTACATTCAGGCTACAAGGTAAGCTCAGACTGACCGATCACATTTAAAAATTAAGAACTTGCTCTTTAATGTGATAGTTTCTAAGAGAAGGTCTGTTGTTTGTTTAAACAGCTGCTATCACACCTAGCCTCAACACAAAATGTCAAACTAACATCTCTTTTGAGTTTGGCTATGGCAGCCATCTTGAATCAGGCACTAATAATTAACATCTAGTAATTACTTCCTGTTTCAATGAGACCCATCCAGTCCTTCTGGAGATGCTAAGCTAACACATAAAAGCACAAACGTTGATTTTTTACAGCTTCATTCCGAAAAGAAATATTTAACATAACTTAACTCTGAGACCTCGATCTCTGCTCACACCTTTTCTCCAAAGTATGAGGAAGACACATGTATCTGCAGCGAAAGCTGAGTTTGGGTCACTAAACAGACATCCATCTTGTAAAGGAAGGAAACTGTATCTAATATAATTAACCTTCATCAGAAAAGCTGGGAAACGTGAGCAGATTTAGACTGTTTTGGTGTGAAACTGTTGAGAGTGAGCTGGCATCAATTTTAGGAAGAGAAGATGAGTGAAAAAGAGGAAATGACACGACTAGAGGGGAGAGTGGAGGGGAGGTGCTGGAGTGAGATGTGGGGCGTCAGGCTGCAGTGTGTCTAGACGGTATTCATGATCCATCTGTCTGCCACCGCCACGGCAACAGCCAGCGGCAGCAACAAGATGGCAAACTCTATTACCACAGAAACAGTCCCTCACCCATCCATTTCTCCTCCTCACCCCCTCTCAGTCTGTCCATCAACCTCCATGCTGCCCCTTCTCCCATCCTCATCCCGTTTTGTTAACCCGTGTCCTCTGAGTCTGCAATTGCTTTCAAATCCCCAGCCATTTTTGGAAGTCTCTCCCTTTTCTTCTCTTTCTTCCTGCATCCCTTCATCCGTCTCCCCCAGCGTCTCTCAGAAATAGTGTAGCACCTCAGTAATTTACAATCATTGTTCAGCTTTCCCCCAACACCACACAGACATTTACATTAACATTCGTCCCAGACAGCTTAATACAGTATTTTAAGTACCGGCTCAGAGTTGTATTCATTTGGAATGAAACCCGCCCCAACCCCCAACACAGACACACACACACACACACACACACACACACACACACACACACACACACACACACACACACACACACACACACACACACACACACCACCTCCGCCAAAAGAAGTTGCTCCTTGTGCCTTGTGGAGCGGTAGAAACAGAAAGACAGAATAAATGAGATGAATTCACAAAACAAGGTGGGAGAGGTGAAAAGAATTTGAGGGAGGGAGATGGGAGGTGGGGGGGGGGGGGTGAAAGAGGGAGGGCGAGATGAGAGGAGAGAGATGGAGAAGGTAAGGAGCCCGCCAGACACACACACACACACACAGTTTCTTACAGAGCCAAGGATGAAAGTGCTGCTGTAAAAAGTTTTCCCTCTCCTCCTAAAAGTTGTTGAAAGAGAATGCTGCAGCACATCAAAGTGGTCTGGCAGACAGCCACTGCAGCCCATTGGTGTCCTTCACCCTGTCGTTCCCTCCCTCTCTCTGCCCCTCTCCCTCCCTGTGTTGCCATTGATCGTGATGAGTCGGGGAACCGTCGTATCTCACTCCCTGGACGCTCAGCTGGAGGGTGGATGGAGGTGGCTACAGCTGAGGTGGGGGGTGCTCAGGAAAACTGGGTTCAGGCTAAAAGTGAAACGGGGCAAAAGCTTGCGTTAAACAGAGAGAGTCGGTGAGAACAGGTTCTCCTGTACAAAGGAAGGTGCACCTGACAAGCAGGATTTATGTACACTAACCGTAAACATCCAGTCGTGGGGGTCACGCAGGTCAACGTTTTGTAATTTTCACACTGGTGCATTTCTGGGACCAAAGGGTGGTTTGAGTCACGAAAGTTAGGTTTGGGTCAATTCGTAAAAAATACCTGTTTTTTCCTTAGAAAACTCTAAAAGCAATCAGAGAAAATGCCAAAGTCACTAAATACTAACTTACAGAGAAGACTTGATAGCAAACATGTTATGATTTCAATCAAAAGGGTGGTGAAGGTTAGATTTCCAGGTGATCCTAGAAGGTTTCGAAAAGCTGCAGCTGGACTTCTTTGCTTCCGTACGTGGTTTGCTCCTCCTCAGAGGTTGGTTTTTAATCTAAAGAGAAAATGCTGGGTGCCCAGCTTTAAAGCCACAGTTACATCCATGCAAGTCAAGTTTGCTGATCAAAGCCCTGGTCCTCCATCCCTCCAGAGAGGTGTTAGGGTCTCTTAAGTGGCAGGAGTCTCCAAAGAGTGTCCCAGGAGAATCCACCGAACCCTAACCCACTCAACAACACCCACAAACAGAAAACACCCCAAAGGTAAGCTCAACCAAAAAAAACTACATCCCACAGTCTTGAACCTGATCTCTAGACAGTTTCACGTAAATCCACACCATAAGGAATGCGATCGACACAACTTTAACCCTTTATTGATTTAAAGGGTCTTAATTCATTTATATAACTGTTTTTCTGATGTCTGAATTACACGGCTGTGGAATGAGAGTGAAAACTGACCGTGGTCATTTGAAAACACTCTGTGCTGTGTGACAAGTCAAAGCTACGAGGAAATGTGGAGTTCCTCAAGGTCCAGGGTTTGGTTGCATACTTTTCATTTTATGTATCAGTAGTATTTCTGTAGCCTGCTTTCATTAGCACATGACGCTTGTGTTTTAGTTGTTCTCGTGCTGTTGGGATCGGGTTTTCATCGAAGCATCTTAATCACCTGGATTGGACTGGTGTGATGAGCACTACGCTCGATGGGTATGCATCAGTCGTGTTGTAGCATGACCCAAAGTATTTCAGTATGTGAAGTAAAATGATGGATTTGGATCCATTTCAAAGATAAAAAATTAGATTTAATAAATCAACTGAATAACATTTGAGACTGATTATATTGCTGAGTCTGGTATGTGAGACAATGATCAAAGACGGATGTGCATTTTGTGGCTTTATAATGAAAAACGTATAATGTTTCCCCCCTTTTCATCCATTTGTGTGTGTTTTAACCTTTGTTTTAAATTTTATTTGTCTTTTGGGCTGACTAGTATTGGTATAACATTCAAACGAGTGAAATAAATAAATAACATATGAGGAGACAGCAGCAGGAGGGATGGAGGAAATAGAGAATGAAAGCTTCCACTTTGTCCCAGCTCAGTGGGGACTGACCAGCAGTCCTGTGGGATAAAGCAGCTCTAGGTAAGCTAAAGACAGAGGGAGGTTGTATAGTTTGCTTGTGCTCTGACAGAAAGAGGGTTGGAGGTGTAGCAGCATCCTGCAGCACTCACAGTTGAAGATGCCTGGCGGAGGGTGCTGGGTGACCACAGGGCAATTCTCCTCATCGCTGTTGTCCCCACAGTTATTCAGCTGGTTGCAGATCAGCGAGCCCAGACGTAAGCAGTTTCCATTGGTGCAGTGGAACTTGCACTCTGCACACACCAAGATGGAGGTGAGAAAGGAATGCAGGAAACACTTATTAGCACATTTCTTTGATCCAAAACCTGATATCCAAAGGTCCAAATATGTTTTCTAGGTCAGGGGTCAACAGTAACTGTGATGAACAAAGTCCTTTTGTTAAGTTTAAAAGCAAATGCTTGTGAACAAAAACCACTCCTGCTAACAGTGACGTGTTGTGTCCTTTGGTGTTATAGTTAAACCTAGTCCCCCCCCCCCTAAAAGGTAGTTCCAGTGCAACGGGTCACAGCGCCAATAAAAAAATGATTCTTATCTCGAGAGACGCTATATAAAACATTGTCTTCTTCTAAAATCACTGGGATGAGAAACCAGGTGTGAGCAACATATCTGTATGCCTTGAGAGAGCAACCTGAGGCTTCTGAGGCTCCTCGTCCATCTGCAGCGATATGAAGACATGCAACTATAGACATGAATACGTACACGCTATTGGGCGCTGGAGGGTGTAACAGCGCCATATTGGGCAGGTTTCTTTACTCTCCAAGGTCAAAGCAGGACACTGTCCAATGTTGGGACACTAATGAAAATGTTCAGTAATCACGTGGGATTACAGCTGACTTTTCTAGCCTTCCTGATGGGATTTTACATTTTAATTAATTTTATTATACTTTAATAATCATGCCATACTATATGTCTGACTTTGCAAAAATGAATAATAAGTATGTTTTTTATTTGGGTAAGCACCTTTCTCAGTAGAAATAAATGCACTGGGGGCAAATGGGGACCCATCCAAGATGGTGGCTTGCTACTACACAAGCTCCAGTAGGTAGCTCCAGTCCATGATGCGTCCACGTATGAGATGTCTGTGCATGCAACATCATGATCTGTCAACACAATGGCTTTAAACAGATGACGCACCTGATTTACCTGTGCACCTGTAGCCAGCAGCTACAGCAGCGAAAGGATTTCAACAAGCTAGCTCCCAATAAAAACACTAGGGCAACAGCTGGCTAAAAGTATGTATTAGCCAAGCTCAGAGTCACAGCATCAACTTTCTTCCTGGCATTGTGCAGAGGGAGTGCTGTTTTTAAATGTGCTTTATAAATAAACTTGGTATGGTATGATATGGTAGACGTTTCCTGAACTCTTTCAGATGTGGCTCTCCTGGCCTCGGTGCTGCTTGAGCCATAGTCCAGACTTTCAGAATGGCTGTCCTAGCACACAAGTCTCCAACACTCAGCATGTGACCAGAGCTGAGCAGCCATGTCAGGGCTGCGCTGAATGCTGTCACTGATGCTAGCTTTAGAGAAGAAACTGTTCATCCTTTACTTTTTAGCTACAAAGGAAAATATTCAACCTGCTTCTTTTCTCTGGTCAAACGAGTCCGTCAAATACTAATGAATTCAGCTTTAACAGCTAAAGCACCAGAAAGGGAATAAATAAATAATATGCTGGAAAAGATAAACACACACACACACACTCTCTAAAACATGTTAAAGCAGAGCTTCTTCCTGATTTCTGTTCTTCAGGATGGACAAGGTTACGTGTAAACTCGAGCACAAAGCAGAGTTAATGTGTTGAGTTCACACAGAAACAAGGTCAGACCTAAAAGTGTCCTCCTGTGAAAAACAACAATTCAATAAACATCTCATTCAAACGAGCCTTTGATGTGCTGCAGCCCCAAACCATAAAGTGTTCCCGTCACGGTTATCACCAAAACGCTTCCCTTCTAAATATTAATATGTCTGATTAGCACTATCTGCTGAAGAAGAAACACTAATGTGAGAGAGAAAATATATGTGTGTGTGTGTGTGTGTGTGTGTGTGTGTGTGTGTGTGTGTGTGTGTGTGTGTGTGTGTGTGTTCAGAGGGGATGAATAATCCCACACAGCTTTCATTATGGTGAAGGAAAACAGCAATAACAAAGTGTTTGATGCGCTGGAAAGCAAGGGCATGCTGGTGTGTGTGTGTGTGTGTGTGTGTGTGTGTGTGTGTGTGTGTGTGTGTGTGTGTGTGTGTGTGTGTGTGTGTGTGTGTGTGGTTAGGTCCCTTAGAGAGTGTAGCATTAATACTGAGCCGCTCCACAAACTGAGAGGAAATAATTGAAACCTGAAGGATAAAAAGTCTCCTTTAAAGCTGAAAAACCTGACAACGACATAAATATTAATTATCATAAAAACACACAAAGTCGGTAAGACAACTAGAATTTGAGTCACTCTGAAACTGTGCGGCTGCAGCGAACTCAGAAAGAGCCCAGCTACAGATCAACCGGTAAATGTTGGACGTTCGCGGTAACGGAAGTGCTGTTCTGAGGCTCAACGTCCCACTCAAGGTACGTTTCTTATTGGTTGGTGCTAGAGGTGTCCAATATTATCGATCTACCAATAATATCGACCGATATCAGTATTCAAAAGTAAATAAAAAAATACTGGTTTTCAGTCTTTTAATGACTTTTCCATCCCACACACACGAACACGTCAGCTACCTCTCCTCTCTCTCAAAAAGTGAAAACATGAAGCTAGCGAGATCATGTAGTTTATTTGGCAGAACTTGGTAATGAACGTACGCCAACCTCACAGCATGTAGCTACGTGTAGCTAGCAGCTAACATACGAATAAAAAAATAACAAGAATCTCCACCAAGGCTCGCTTTTCGTATCTGAAGATCTTTATAAGCGTTTTATCACCGTAGCTCCACTATGTGCATGTCCCTTTCCACACAAACTTTGTGATTTGTAAAACTCTGACACTGGTTTGAGCCCATTTTGGCGGCAGGGAGCTTGGCAGTGCAGTTGGTGAGAGGGTGAAATGGTGAATTTAACCCACATTTTCATCCGTCACAGAAACTCACCTGTACTTAAGGTGTTAGTATCAGCAGATACTAAACACTAAATAACCCAGATTGGGGTTAATAACTGAGGCAACACATTCTCACACCCTAAGCGTCGGAAACAAACGCTTGGTCAGCCACCCTCCACGTCAGACCCCAGACGCCAATAGTGCTCTTTTTCGTTACTTATGTGCGAAAAGGGTTTTTTCTTTTTTGTAACTGCAGATCCCAATGCAGCGTTACACTGACGTGATTAGATATCCGCTGATGCGGCACAGAACCAGCTCATTTAACCGCACCTAAACCTTAACGTTTCACTATTTATAACCTTCCCCTCACCCTCATCCTAACCTTAACCCTCTTGCTACCTAAAACGTTACTCTCACTGTGATCAAGCGTTTGTTTCCCATGCATTCTGACTCTGACAGTCAGAGTCTGACTGTGAATTTTCGTATTTGCCGCCCAAGGGGAACGTTAGAACATACCATCTGGCGAGGGGGAGGTTACAAATACCCTCTACTTTTAACCTCCACCTTGGTAGCTGAAACCTCCCCCTCGCGTTGGCTCGGTCCAAACTCGACCAATCACGAGGCGGCTCCCGCCGTTCACTTCACAGAGCCGGCTTTTAGAGCGATCGACACATCACTAACGTGTTCGCTAGCAAGATGGTTAAGGTTAGGATAGGGGTGAGGGGAAGGTTAAATAAGAGGATAAGGTTAAGATGAGGTACAATGAGCTTGTTTGGTGCCCTGGCTGCGGACATCCCATCGCTTCAGTTTTACACTGCATTGGGATCTGCAATCAGATAAGGTAAAAAACCCTTTTCGCACATAAGTAACGAAAAAGGGCACTTTTGGCGTCAGGGGTCTGACGTGGAGGGTGGCTGACCAAGCGTTTGTTTTAGACGCGCTGGGAGTGAGAACGTGTTTCCTGAGTAGGAAATAAGATTTTTGCATCTGTAATAAGAAAGGTTTTGACAAATTAAATGACATACACAAAGAGAAGTGAACCAGTAGCTTCTGCTCCAGGGAACCCTAACCCTCCAACACGTCTGTAGAACAATCAGGTAGAAAGGACAACTTCAGGCTAGACTTCATTAGAGAAAATATCTAATTAACTAAAATTGATTACACAGATTCACACAGGAAATAAACCTTCTAAGTTTAATTTAATTGACATTTTCCTATATTTATGGCTGTTTTTAACTTGTTTTCTGTGATTAAAAGCGTTTTGGCGGTTGAGCCGACGGTTTAGTCCAGAGCTTTCTCTTAGTTTATGTCTTTTCATGAATGAATATTTAAAACTCATTTCTTCTTATTACTGACATGAATTCAAAATGAGTGAAATCTGAAACATGGTGTAATGTCAGTCGACCCTAAAGCCATCCAAATGAAGTCAAAACAGCAGTGGCTCGGAAGGTTGCAGGTTCGATCCCAGCTCCGACCAGAGGATGCTGTTGTTGTGTCCTTGGGCAAGACACTTAACCCCCCTCACCTGCAGGTGGTGGTCGGAGGGACGCCTGTGCTCGGCAGCCTCGCCTCTGTCAGCGCGCCCCAGAGCCGCTGTGGCTACATCGTAGCTCATGACCACCAGCGTGTGAATGTGTGTGTGAGTGGATGAATGGCTGTGTTGTGAAGAGCCTTGGGGGGTTGTAGAACCCTAAGAAGGCACTATATGAATATAGACCATTTATCATTCAAAAACATTTTACATGGTGGCTCATCACATGCTGGTGATGAGCCACCATGTAGCCACAGCTGCCCTGGGGCGCACTGACAAAGGCGAGGCTGCCGTACACAGGCGTCACCGGTCCCTCCGACCACCACCAGCAGGAAGGGGGGTTAAGTGTCTTGCCCAAGGACACAACAGCAGCCCTCTCTGGTGGAAGCTGGGATTGAACCTGCAACCTTTTGTAAATGAAGACTAGCATCAGCATTGGAGGAGGAGTTTGCTGGAGGTCAGGCTAATGCTAGCTCACTTCCTCTCTGCTCTGGTGACACAGATGACAGGGTAAGCTAGCAGACAACTCCTCTTCCTCCTGAGCTGCAGTCGTCCTCCCAGAGGTAGGTCAGAGGAACTCAGTACTCCTCGTGTGATCTCATCACCTGTCTTTACTCATGCGGGGCTGACATACATACAATGTGACTTGAAAAGCTGCAGCACCTAAAGGTGCAGTATGATGGGGTTTT